TCCTCACACCTCCTCAACCCTCCTACTTGGTTTTATTTTCTGGTTTCTCTGTTTTCTCTTTGCCCTCTTCTTCCTTGTTCTACAAACTATTCCTTGATAGTCATGTATGTAAGGCAGGAAAAATAATTTTTTCTCTACCCTTCTGAGTTCTTAGCTGGGACTCTTTTTAACAAAAGGCAGATTAACAAGAAACAAACAAGCATAATTTTATTAACATGTATATCTCATATATATATATATATGAAACACCCATGGTTAAAATACCAGTTCTTAAATAGGTGACTTAGAATTCAGGCTTATATAACATCTTCAACTGAAAACAAAGAAGGAAGAGTGTGGGGCAGGCCAGTTATAGGAAACTTATGATAGATAAAAACTAATTAGTGAAGTTCCTTATGTACATTTCTCTGATGCCCTCTGCAGGATGACAAAAGTCTAAAGTCATCTCAGGTAGTTAACTTTAGTTTTTACTGGTAGACAAGGAAGGAGGGACATCATTGTAAATTTGTGTCTTGCTTTTAGGCAAATAGGAAAAAGACAGAGAGATCTGTGTATATCTACTTCTTCTCAGTTGCCTTCAGCTCAAAAAATCCTCATGCCAAAGTGGCACATTTTGGGGTGGCATATCTGCTACCCTGCACATATGCTTGCATAAATACAAATGCCATTGTTTATATCTTTTTAACTCTAAAGACAAAAGCAAAGACACCAGTTGTATCAGTTGTCAACCTTCTCAACTGTGATGTGCTTAAATCATCATACAATAGTCTGTTTCCAAGAAGTAAAAGAGAAACAGCATTTGAACTACTAACATTATTTTTAAGATTACTTTGTTGATTTATGGTTTAGCGTTAACCCATTGTATTAGTCTGTTCTCACACTGCTAATAAAGACATCCCAGAGACTGGATAATTTATAAAGGAAAGAGGTTTAATTGACCCATAGTTCAGCATGGCTGGGGAGGCCTCAGGAAACTTACAAACATGGTGGAAGGGGAAGCAAGTTCATCCTTGAGAGAGAAGAATGAGAACCAAGCAAAGGGGAAAGCCTCTTCTAAGACCATTAGATCTTGTGAAAACTTACTCACTATCACTAGAATGGCATGGGGAAAACCACCCCTATGACTCAATTACCTCCAACAGGTCCCTTCCACCACATGTGGGATTATGGGAACTGCAATTCTAGATGAGATTTGGGTGGGGGACACAGTCAAACTATATCACCCATGTATTTCAAAACTACACACTTTGATGTGGTAACTAAAAGCTTCAACAATAAAGTGATTTGTGTTTCTTTTTCTTTATAAAATGTTATTTTCTGTGTTGTATTTCCTTTGATATGCCTTGTATAGAAAACTGAGTTGTCATGTGGTAAGTTTAAAAAAAAGTGTTTATAATCCAGTACTGAGATAGAAATAAGACACAAACTTTAGATAAAATTTTACAATGTAGGTGGGGAAAAGGTGTGATACTTTTCTTCCCCATCGAAAGGGTCACAGTCCACACGCCTAAAACAAAAGAGAGGTTAACAAGAGAAAAGCATTATAGATTTATTCAATCAAAGTTTTACATGACATGGGAGACTTCAGAAATGAAGCCTTAAAGATTCAGGGAAAACTGTCTACTTTTATGTTTTGATTTGATGTGGAATGCACAGCCATGTAGAAAGAAAATCAGACTCAGGCATGGTGGCTCATGGTCCTAGCGATGGTCCTAGCTATGCAGGAGTGGGAGGCAGGAGAATTGGCTTGAGTTCAGGAGTTCAAGAATGGAATGAGCTATGTTCTGACCCCTGAACTCAAGCATGGGCAACAGAAGGAAATTATCTCAAAAAATAAAAAATAAATATGATTGAACCAAATAAGTATGACCTAATGGCAGGAGACTGAATAGGGGAACACAACAAGGCCTGTCTGCTCAGATTCTTCTTGGCTTCTCTGTGTGACATTTCTTCTTTCTGGGTATAGGGTAAGAGCTTTCTGGAGTAACAGTCTTATGTCTACCTTTGGATAAGGTAGGTCAGAGAATTTCTTCATTGCTAGCTCTTACACAGAAAGGCAAGTGGTAGAGTAATATTTCTAGGTTTTATGGCCAGCTGTGGGGGAGAAGGGTTCTGGTTCTATGAACTCTCTTAGGGAAGAGGAATTCTAGTTTCTATGGCCTGCCTTGGGGAGAAAAGAAAGCAGGAGAAAGAAGGGCAGAAGAAGGTCAGAAAGAGACTCCTTCTGAAGCTTTTCCAGTGTCCTTCATGTTCCAAGTACTCAGCATGCCAAATCACCATATTTGGGGGTGTCATTTTCAGAGCTCTCAAACAAAAAACTTAAGAAGTTTGAAGTTTAAGTACAATTTAATGTTATTTATATTCTCATTCAAATTTTAATACAGTCATTGCAAGGAATAGTACCGTTTATAAATATGTTATAGTTCCAACAAATTTAGTGATACCTATGCTGAAAGGTTTTATGAGTGTAACAAATATGTATGATTAGTTCATAAATTGACTCTTGTTTTATTTGTATAATATAAATTTTAGGTAAAGTCATACTGAAATGAACTTGCAGTCTGCAATAGGATAGGTCACTGGGTAAGAATGATTAAGGAATAGAAATCGCTATGAATTTTGAGATCATGCTAGTTCATCCTGAACCTAGTAAATTCTATTAAGATGAGAAATAATACATAGTTCTTCTGTAGTAAGCACATTTAACTGTAAGAAATTAAATCTGATGACCAGAAAAGGGAGCAATCAGTGTGCATCTCTGATGTTTGTGTGCAGGTAAATTGCCTTGCATTAAACTGAATTTGGTAGCTGAAGCAATTATTTTTCTATAATATTTTCCCTTCAGAGATTAACTGCAAATGATACAGGTAGCAAACCACAACCAAAAAAAATGACCTAAATGTTTTATTATCAATAAAGTTCTGTAACTGTGAAGGTAACTGAATAGCAAACCAACAGTCAAAAGGAAAAAGGTGTAACATGTTTTATTGTTGATATAATTTGAGGCATACTTATAATGGTACTTTGAATTCCTTGAATTGAGGAAAATCTAAAACTGCATAGTAACCCTGCCTACTTATATGCACTGGGAATGTTACTACCCTTGTGATTCACTTACCATATACAGCAGTGTAAAAGGAGGGTTTCCCTACTGTCCTTTTCAGAGAGCTCCACCCTGGTTACTTTCAGTGCCACCCATGGGTAAGTTCAAGGCTTTCCATTTCCCACTAGCTTCCTCTAAGTTTACAGAATTCCAACCTCAATTTCAGTCATTTAGGTGTGTCCTTGGCAACTGAAGTGGAGACTGTCCTCAAAGGAACCTTGGAATGCACAGATGTGCCTCGGTTGTGTTGCATAGCCTGCGGGCAGCCTCTGCACCTCTCAGCAAAGGTCACGTATGGAGCCTGCTCCAACATGGCCCCCTGGCACTAAGACAGAGTTCACTCTTGGAGGGAGTGGAGGCAGGGAAATAAACAAAAGCTGACTCTGCTCCTGCATCCCCAGCTACCCTTCAGAGCAGTGTCCTGGCCCAGGGACTGCTTTGGCCTCTCTCTATCACCAGTCCTCCTTCTTCCTGATCTACATGGTGGTTGCAGTCTTTGGATTATTTGAGAGTCAAGGTCCTGGTCCCTAATCTGTTCTTTTCAATCTATTGTTTATGACCACAACATTATGATCTTAGCCCTTCATAGGTTAACACCCCAGAAATACTAAAGGGCATCTCTTAAGGATCAAAAACCAGGCTATTTTTTCCATTAAGAGCTCTGAAAGTGTATTTTAATACATAAAAGTTAAGGTTTGTCTTCTTTGTTCTTGTGATTGACTGTGGTGCTATTTTCTTGAAACAACTGAGGAGGAAGGACCTGGCTCTCTTCAGGGTATAAGGAATGATCAGGGCTTTGGAGGTGGAAGACAGCAAGTAATGTGAGAGAGTGCCACGTGATAGCTAAAAGTAAACACTGCACTATATTATGTCCCAGCTTCACCACTAACTAGCTGTGCTACCATGGGCAAATTCAGTTACTTTGCTATGACTTACTTTCCTCACCGATATTAGTTTCTCAAGACTGCTTTAACAAATCACCACAAAATTGATGGCTTAAACCTCAGAAATTTATTCTGTCACTGTTCTGAAGGCCAGAAGTCTGAAATCAGCTTCACTGAGCCAAATTCAAGGTCTTGGCAGGGCCACGCTCTCTCTGAAGCTTTAGAGGAGAATTCTTCCTGGCCTCTTCCCACTTTTGGTAGCTGGCAGAAATCCTTGCTGGCGGCCACATCCCAGTCTCTGTTTCTATGGTCACATTGCCTTTGCCTCTTCTTCCTTATGTCTAATCTCTGTCTGCCTCCCTCTTATAAGAATGCACACGATTGCATTTAGGGTCCACTCAGATAATCCATGATCACCTCCCCATCTCATGATCCTTAATTTAATCACATCTGCACAGTGCTTTATTGCCATACAAGGTAAAATTCACAGGTTCCAGGGATTAGAAGCTAAGTGTCATTGGTGGAGACAATTATTCAGCCTGCTATAAATTAGGTTGATCATTAAAGTACCCACACGAACATTCAAGAACATAATATGTGAAATTCACTTAGAACAACATCTACTATGCCATAAAGCATTCAACAATATTTATCCCATGATAGTGATGTTCATGATGCAACAACAAGAAAATGCAGCCAAAAAGTTTCAAGGTAGAAATTATTTTTAAATAAAAGTATATGGAAGATCTCATCTCTGGATTTTTTTTAAATGTGTTACCTTTAAAATGTTAATATTAATCAAAGGATTGTATCTCCACATTTAATAATTATAACCCAATAATTTAGGCATATAATACATGCAGCCACTTGGGGCTTTGTCTTTTGTTACTTTTCACTTGAAATTGAAATCATTGTAGCAATTTCATCCACCCTGAATTCTTTCTAGGGTCAAAGGCAAAGACGTGATGTAATACAATTTTCTCATTTTGCTCTTTTGTCTCCTACCCACCTAGGACACCGATCTAATGACATTCAATATCTCTGTACATCGGTCATGGTGGAGAGAACATGGGCCTGGTTGTGTCAGAAGAGTGCTGCCTCCCTCAGCCCATGGCATGATGGACGATTACACGTACGTCTCCGTCACAGGCTGCATCGTTGACTTCCAGTACCTGGAGGTCATCCACAGTGCTGTCCAAATACTACTCTCTGTAAGTGTCACTTTTGTATCATTATCTAATCTGAACTCTTCTTTACTGGCATTTTTTTCTCCACACCTACGTGATAGAAAATGCCTCAGATAAGCACACAGAGAACATCCAACAGAAATAGCAGCAATTATGGTACCACTAGTTATACCTGATGGCAGGTTACACCTTTTTTCTCTTGGTATCTAGACATTTTGTATTTAGAAGCAGTTAGTGACTGTCATTTCTAACTTACGATACAATCCACACTATTCAATGAAATAGTATCACCATCCACCAGAAGTGGTCCCTTTTCACTTAGCTGCCTCAGGTTCTTCTGCTAATGCATTCTTCCGCTAAATTTCCAGAGAAAGAAGGATGGAAACACCCGCAGCCAATGGCTTGCTCAGTCTAATAAACCTGACATTTCATTAATTCCTTAAAAAACAAATCCTACTAGAGACCCTTTGCATTTTAGTGCCTAAAATCTGGCATCAGAATACAATTCCATATACAGAAATGAGAAGGAAATGATGTGATTAGTCCGTAGAACATTTATGTGCAAGGGACTCCTTAAAAGTAATTTTCTTCTACCAGACTGCCCCACTCACAGTTTGACCACAATGAGGAGTGGAATTAATTTAAGGATGTGTAACATCATCAAGAACAATGTTCCTTTGAGATCCAAGCAGGACTTATCACCTAGTTTGAGTCAATATTCCAATAAAACCATTCTCAACTCACTATTCACATAAACCAACCATCTCAGTTCTGTTCAGCTGGTTAGCTTAGTAGGAATAAGAGACACAGAATCATTAGTAAATAAATAGATAGCAGAAATATCAGTGGTATGTCAATGAAGAAAGTACCTTGGAATTAATTATAGAAAAATCTTTAAGAAATCCTTGCTATCACTTACTGTATTCATTATCTACTACTATGTAACAAACCACTCCAAAATGCAATTGCTTGAAACAATATTAATTTATTGCTTAGAGTTCTGTGCATTAGGAATTTGGGCACATATCAGCCAGGTAGTTCCTCTGCTTTATATGGTATTAGATAAAGTCACTCATATAAACTCCACACAATATTGACTAGGGTCACTGATGTGAGCCTGTCAATCTGGAGCTCTGCTAGGACTGGAATGTCCAAAGAGGCCTCACTCACATCTCTGGTGCTGGTTGTTGGCCCCATTCTCCTGCACACGCATATGGCTTCTCTTTCTTAAAAAAACAAACAAACAAACAAAACTTTAAAGCAGTTTTTTCCAATTCTGTGAAGAAAGTCATTGGTAGCTTGATGGGGATGGCATTGAATCTAGAAATTACCTTGGGCAGTATGGCCATTTTCACAATATTGATTCTTCCTTTCCATGAGCATGGTATGTTCTTCCATTTGTTTGTGTCCTCTTTTATTTCACTGAGCAGTGGTTTGTAGTTCTCCTTGAAGAGGTCCTTTACGTCCCTTGTAAGTTGGATTCCTAGGTATTTTATTCTCTTTTAAGCTATTGTGAATGAAAGTTCATTCATGATTTGGCTCTCTGTTTGTCTGTTACTGCTGTATAAGAACCCAGCCATCCCATTACTGGGTATATACCCAAAGGATTATAAATCATGCTGCTATAAAGACACATGCACATGTATGTTTATTGCAGCACTATTCACAATAGCAAAGACTTGGAATCAACCCAAATGTCCATCAGTGACAGACTGGATTAAGAAAATGTGGCACATATACACCATGGAATACTATGCAGCCATAAAAAAGGATGAGTTTGTGTCCTTTGTAGGAACATGGATGCAGCTGGAAACCATCATTCTCAGCAAACTATCACAAGAACAGAAAACCAAACACCACATGTTCTCACTCATAGGTGGGAACTGAACAATGAGATCACTTGGACTCGGGAAGGGGAACATCACACACCGGGGCCTGTTATGGGGAGGGGGGAGGAGGGACGGATGGCATTGGGAGTTATACCTGATGTAAATTGACGAGTTGATGGGTGCTGACGAGTTGATGGGTGCAGCACACCAACATGGCACAAGTATACATATGTAATAAACCTGCACATTGTGCACATGTACCCTAGAACTTAAAGTATAATAACAATAAAAAAAATTTAAAAAAAATGACAGATTCTCAGGCAATGAGTTAGCTGAATAATAAAAGGAAAAGCCAACATGCAAGCATTTATCAAGCCTCTACTGGAGTAATGCTTGCTATTGCTTCATTAGCTACAGCAAATCTATGACCCAGCCTGTAGTCAGTGTGAGAGGGGGCTATCAAAAGGTGAGAAGACAAGGAGGCATGGCTCTTCTAGGGCCACCAATGTGGTGCTCTTATCTCATTTACTCAATCTACTAGTTACTGTTCTTTAATTTGCATGTCTCAAGTTTTAAAATGATGTTTTAGAGCACATTTGAATTTAAAAGTAACTTTAATATTTGTATCACATGTGGCAAAGAAAGGGTCATTATTCATAATGCACAATGAGCTCATTTAAATGAGTACTAAAACCATGAATATTTAGTAATTAATTCAATGAACAGTAGGAACAAATGTGTTCACATAAGGGAAAAACATCCAAATTGTAAACAGTTTGGTATAAAATATAATTATTGATACTAACCTGATGCATGCAAGTTAACTTTGAAAAATTATTTTCACTAATTTAGCAATTTGTAAAGGTAACGCTAAATAGAATTGTAATTCACTTATTTATAGAGGCAGTCTTTGTCTCAAAGACCGTTAAAATGCCTGTAACTTTTGGTCCTGTAACCCTACTCAGTGGACTTTCTTCTAAGAAAATAATTCAACAGAAAGAAATAGCTACCTGCATTATTTTCATTTCAGTGTTTTTTAAAATAGCAAATCTGGATATGTATAAATATATGCGATTAAAGGCATGGCATAACAATTTATAGTACATCAACTTGATGAAGAGAAAGTAATAACTATGTTAATTTTTAAGACCACATATAAAACATGAAACAGTTTTTTTATGATTCAAGTACATAATCTAGGAAGAAAGTTTAGATACAAAAAGATTTAGAAGTATGGATATGCCTTCCCAAAAAATGTTTTTACACAATGTATGATATTTTAAATCATATTTCAATACTAATTTTAAACAATAATTAAATGCTATTTAATTATCATATTTGTATATTTGATTTGTATGGAACAGCAGAAGAGATGTTATAGTCGCTTTTCTTAAATGATCAACCAATCCTAATCTCATAATTTTTATTTGATCATTTAAAGGCACTCATAAATCTTAGTTATTATAAAATATTTCATTTTAGTGGACTGACCAGTTCTGGGGTTAAAAAGTCAATAATAACAATATCCAATTTAAGTTCCTTTTTAATTTTCAGTGTTAGTTATTTACTGGTAAACATAGATTCGTATGCTCATGTTGATTAGCACACACACACATACACACACATATAAAGGAGCTCATTTTTATGACTAGTAAAAAAATCCTAATCTCCAAACTTGGCAAAGATTTTTTAAACTCACCTTACTGATTTCTCTTTGCAGCTAATTTTACACATATATTGTCTGGAATCCTCACTGTCAATATATTCTCCCTCATATCTGATAGGTGACAAGTCTCATTCTTTAACAAACCTTTGGAGGTTGTCACCATAGTCGGAGCTGGGGTCTTATGAGAATTGCCATCCCTATGCCTCTTGCATTGTATCTCTCTGTTCACATCAACATTTGTCACTGTTCTCTGCCCTTCATATCAGACACATTCAGCTTAGTGATAAATTAAAACTCAATAGAGAAGGGTAAAAAGTAATATTAGACCACAAGGTATCCTATAGAATCTTTGTTCTCCAAAGGCTGTATGGCTCTCTGTTCATTGGCTTATAGAATATATTGCACAATGTCAGAGCAGACAGTACTATTGCTGCTTCAGTAACATGCTCACAGAGTGTAAGAATGTAAATCAAAAGATAGGTGAAACTGAACTTTTGAAATATGTCCCAATTACTTTTAATTGTACCTCTCCAAAACTGTAAATATAGTTAAATTTTTTTTAAAATTTCTGTGTTAACATTTGCATTTGTTTAACAAACTCAGCATGCTCTTGGAGCTGCTCTCTGTGCTTTTCAAATATGAACTCACTTAATTCTCAAAATGACCCATGAGGGTAGTGTTATTATAGTCATTTTACATGTGTGAAAACTGAGACACATGGAGAAGTTAAAAAATGTGCCCAACATCCCACAGCTTGTGAGTGAAGATGGACCTCAAACCCCAGGCAGACAATTCCTCGTCATGAAGAGAGGACTTCTCCCTGCAACACCTTGCAGAGTTCAGAGGTAAACTCTGTCAGATCTGTACAGCTATGCATCTGCTGTTGGGCTGATGGGATTTAATTGCAGCTCCACTATTAGAAAGTAAAAATAAAAGTACAATTATGTCTAATAGTCAAAAGATTGGCGAACAGTTAAAAATGTTTCCTCTCACCCTTGAAAACGTGTCTCAACTGCCTTTCTGGTGGTGGTTTATTTTTTTAACAGATTATTTTAACATTTGTCAAATGCTAAATATATTGGACTCTTTTTTTTTTTTTTCTTTTTTGCTTACTAGGGCTTTCCAGGGTCTGGTAAGAGGAAAGAAATCATGACCAACTTCTTCTGTCCCAAAAGCCTTCCGGAATTACCCTTTTACCAGAAAATCTATTTTTATATAAAATAAATGGCTTCTGCTCATACAAAATTTTGAGCTGCTTCGAAGAGCTAGATAGAACTATTAAAGATTTAGATTGAGTTACTCCCCATACACCATCTCTGGTCTCTGTATTCAGTTCCATCCTCAGAAAAGTAAAGCAACAGTTTATCTAAAGTTCCACTCACCCAAGGAATCATTTATTGGATCATCACAATATTGAGAAGTGTTTATGGCTGTGGGAGAATTTCCATGCCAAAAATATTCAGAGGGCTTTGGCAGAAACGTTTGTGTTCAGAAGCCAGAGTATACCTGGTCAGTCAAACTGTTGGGGC